ATTTTGGTTTGTTCATGGATGGTTTCACTTTGCTTTGTTATGAAGTTTTATTTTAAGATATTATGGCGATTTCATTAATGGTTTCACTTTGGTTTGCATGAAGTTTTTTTAAGATAGCGATAAATTAAAAGGGGACAAATTAAACTTTTGCGTTTTTATTTTTTTGTATCAAGAAAAATCATAAGAAAGAAAGAAAATAAATTACGTTTTGTTTTTTTTTTTAAGAAAATTCAAAACAAATTACGTTTTGTTTTTAAAGAAAATTACTTTGTGTACGTTGTTTAATCAAAAAAATAATAAATAAATAAATAAAATATTATAAAAATAAAAAAAAATAAACAAATATGATAAAACAAATAACCGTTATACTGATATTCCATGTTCCTGTAACTAATAAAATTACCTCAATGAAATGTTTCAATTTTACGAAACCAATCAATTTCAGCATTGAATGACTCAGAAGGTATTACACCTTATTTTCATGCATGATGTTTGTAACAAATGAAGTATTAGTCATTGAAAGTCGAAATATTTGTACGTAGTCTTAAAGTTGAAATATTCGTAGTAATCGAAATATGTGTCAGAGATAAAAACACTTGTATTATTTTTTTTTTTCATTTATTATAGTTCATTCTATATAAAAATTTGGTGTAACATTAAGAAAAAGGCCGATATAATAATTACAAATTATCGAATGATTGGTGAGAAACCAACACATGATAGTAATGAGAACGTAAACATAAAATTAATATTGCCAAAGCATTTCTAAAGTCATCGTCCGCAAGACAAAAAAAAAAAAAAGTTCTAAAGTCATCGTCCGCAAGACAAAAAAAAAAAAAAAAACCATCTACTTTTATAATATACAAATATAGTACTATCTACGTATATACATTTTATTATCAATAATGTTCAATCAACAATGTTCAATCAACAATGTTCATTCAATTCTTTTTATTCATTTTTTTTGTCGTTTTTCAACCTTTTCATAAGAGCAATAGCATGCTCATTCTTATTATCAATTCTCAATATATGATCTATGTCGGCTAATGCTTTATCTGTCCTTCCTAATGTTTCATAAATTGTACTTCGTTCAAATAATGTAGGTAAATGATGTGGATCTCTAAACAAGACCCTATTGAAATCTGCCAAAGCTTCATCATGTTCACCCAAAGCACTATATACAGCTCCTCGATTGTATAATGCTATTGTAGTATGTTCAAGATTAAATGCTTTGTCCCTATAAACATAATAAATGTTATATGAATGTGTTAGATGAATGTGTTATATGAATGTGTTATAAGAATGTTAAACAATAAAATTTTAATTAAATTAAATGATAATACAAACCTTATGTTCTCGATAGCTCTATCTAAATCTAATAAAGCTTTGGTATATGATTTTAAAGTTCGATAAATTGCACCTCTTAACGCCAATGGATAATCCCAATCCGGTAATACATCTAATACTTTATTGAGGTCTTGTAATGCTTCATCATATTTTCCCAAAGCTGATAATACTTCTCCTCGATAAGTTAAAACCCAGACACTAGTAGGATCAATTTCCATAGCTGCATTTAAATCTCGTAATGCATCACTATGTTTTCCAATCTTATTATATAACGCTCCACGAGTTTCCAATGCAAATACTATGTTTGGATCAATATTTAAGGCGGCATTCAAATCAATTAATGCTTCATGATAACGTTGTAACATAAAGTATACACTTCCACGATTAGTCAAAGCAAATCCACTATTAGGATTAAGAAATATAGCTTCATCTAAATCTTCTAAAGCTTCTTCGAAACGTCTAAATGTTCTATTCACAGCTCCTCGACTTTCTCTTGCCATTTGATTATCTGGTTCTTGATTAATAGCTTTATCCAAATCTTGTAACGCTTTTAATCCTTGACGTTGCATTCTATAAACTTCACCACGTCTAGTTAAAGAATAAACATCAGCTGGATCAATTGTTAAAACTCTAGTAAAATCTTTTTCAGCATTTTCAAAATCTTGAATTGATCTATAAGCATCACCACGATATTTAAGAGCTTCTAAATCATTAGGAATATGATTTAAAATTGAACTAAAATCAGCTATAGCATCATCATAATATTGAAGTTTTTGATAAATTTCACCTCGTAATTTAACTAAACATAATTCACTAGGATTTAATTGTACAGCAATGTTCATATGAGCTAAAGCATCTTCATATTCATCCATAGAATATAAAATTTCACCAAGATTTTTATGAGCAACAAAATTTCTTGAACTAATTTGAACAAGTTTTTCAAAATCAACTAAAGCATCTTCATCTCTACCAAGTGTTCTATAAATAAAACCACGAAGTTCAAGAGCCGAACCATTTTCACCTCGTATTATAGCTTCATTTAAATCCAATAAAGCTAAATCATTACGTCCAAGAGCATGATAAACATCAGCACGAGTGGCTAAAATTGAATCAGTATGAGAACCACCAATTTCCAAAGCTTTATTTAAATCTAATAAAGCAGCACCATGAAAACCAAGAGAACAATAAACTTTAGCACGTCTACCAAGAGTATAAATACTTGCAGGTTCTAAATCTAAAGCCAAATTTAAATCCATTATAGCTTCATTATAATGACAGATTGAATAATAAACTTCAGCTCTAGCCCTTAAAGCGTGAACATTTTTTGGATTTAATTTTAAAGATTTATTAAAATCCATTAAAGATTCTTTATAAGAACCTAAAAGTCTATAAATTTCACCACGTAAAGTATAAGCACGAGGTTTTTTAGGTTTTTTTGAAATAGCAAAATTTAAATCGGAAAGAGCTCTATCCCACTCTTCAACTTGATAAGAAGCATAAGCTCTATCACATCTAATAGAATAACTATTAGGATATTTTGTTAAAACTTGAGAATAAGAATTAATAGCTTCATTATATTTCATTAATTCTAAAGCTTGAGTAGCATTTGCGAGTAAAGGATGATGTTTTTTTGATTTTCTGAAAATATTTGAAAGTCTTTTTTGACATTTTTGATTTGGAAGTTTAGCCAAAGTACTATCATCGGATTTATTTAAAGGAAGTCTTCCAATGGAAATATCATTTTGAGAATCGGAAGAATCTGTAGTATGAGAATTTTTTAAGTAATTATCAAAAGAACTATGTTTTGTATTAAAAGAATTAACGGTACTAGAAGAAGAAGGATCACCTAAATTGTTGAACCTTTGATTTTCGGGAAAAATGGGGAAACTTTTATGTATAATTGGAGAGGGAGTAGTAGATGGAGAAGGAGGAGTAATTGGAGAAGAAGAAAGAGGAGTAATTGGAGAAGGAGTAATTGGAGAAGATATAATTGGAGAAAGTATAATTGGAGAAGAAGAAAGAGTATTTGAAGTAGTAGTAGTTAAAGTTTTTGAAATTCTAATAGAGTTAACATGATTATAGGAAAATGAATATTGATCCTTTGAATTACGGCGAGATTTTTTCAGCTTTGAAAAAAAAGAATCACTAAATCTTTTATTTTTTGAACGATATTCCTGAACATGTGGAGTTTCTTTAATTTGATAAAGTTCAGGAATGGTTATATGAGGAGAATCACTATGAGAATAACATTCTGATACAAATGAACCACTGCTTGTTAAAGTCTGAGCACTATCAGAGGTATCAAAGCCGTGATGAGCATTTTGATAAAAAGGAATTTTGGTATTTGGAAGGTTTGTGCTAAATGGTCTATGATTTGAAATGTTATTTGAAATGTTATTTGAAATGATGTTATTTGAAATGTTATTTGAAATGATGTTATTTGAAATGTTATTTGAAATGTTATTTTGAAGATTATTTGGAATGTTATTTGGAATGTTATTTGAAATATTATTTGGAATGTTACTTGAAATATTATTTGGAATGTTAGTATCTATTACACGAATCCCATTCATACTCGTACTTTTAGCACGAATGTTAGGATTATCAGTTGAAAATACACTGTTATTATTTATTGTCATGTTCGTGGGGGTATTCGTGGGTAGAATAAAAAATGAATAGGTTTATTTATTTATTTAAATTTTTTTTTTTGACTAAAGATGGTAATATGGGCGAGGAATTGGTATTTAAATCAAAAATCGAGTTATTTGAGTTATTTAAGTTATTTGAGTATTCGAGTTATTCGAGTTATTCTAGTTATTCATAAAAAATCAAGTTATTCATGCATGCTTTAATAAGTCTTCCCTTTAAATGAACGTGTATAAATAAAGAAAAATGTCGGAAAAAAAAACCCCGCATATAATAAATAACTTCATTGTTAATACTTTAGCATATATTTACGTATAACGATGAGAAAATACAAATAACTTGAGTAACTACTTATAAATAGTGTAAATAGTATGCATTACATAGCATTACATTATTTTTCGCACGTGATTCATTACTAAAAATTATGGCACACTCTACCGGCTCACCCTAACCCTGTGTTCGAATGTTTTGTTATACTGATACTCCTGAACAATATACCTATAAATGAAATTTGCCTACCATAAAAAGACAAAACTTAAATGATTGAATGATTGTTAATACATCAAATATATTGTCGATTCTTCATTGTGATAGCGATATGGAGTAAAATACCACCGTACATAAGTATGTACATATTATGTACGTAGGTATGATCGAGAAAGTTGCTTGCTTACACAGACCCTCGTTAGAACCCCAAAACAGGTTATTAGAAGCAATTTACCGGTAATTTACGTTTGTGTCTCGTATTCTCTCTCCAAATATACTCAATATTGATGACTAATGTAGAATTGCTAATAATATAATAAATAAAATAAAATATCAGACATGTAGGTAGATCTTTATTATTTATTAGTCTGCAAAATTACGTGCATCGAGTGATAGAGGATGTAAACAAATATTACTAAACGTTGCGTGTTTAAATTTTTATCAGTGGAATAGGTCAGAGCCACCTACGTACGTACATAGTAGATAGTGATAGGTACGTACGTACGTAGGTATGTAGATATGTAGGTATGCATATGCGTGGCTAGTACGTACTGTACGTATGGTATATATCACAGATCAGATATGTACAGTACAGTATATATCAGATATGTATATACATACATCCATACGTACTGTACGTACGTACGTCCCTACGTACGTACCTATTTACTTCCGTATGTATTTCATATTTTTTTTGCACTTTTAAGGTAAATAAATTATCTAATGAATTTACTAATGGAACATTAAAGAAAATACTAAACGGGTAATATCTCCGGATAAATTTTAAACCGCCTATAGTTGATTAATAATGCTTTCGAATACGTATTGCCGACAAGTACGTAAGTACATACGTTGTACGTACGTATGTACGAGCTTTCCGGAATGTTATCAATGGTAACACGTATAACGATGAAATTTGACGTATTTGAGATTTTGGGTTTAAGTTTAGGCTAAATTACTTCAAAAATAAAAAAAAAAGGAAAACTACGTACTTATCATTTCACTCATACGTATCACCTGCACTCGCATTGTTTATTTTAACGCAACAAAAATAATTACTCTATTTGGTTAAGTATATCTTCATTAATATTTTATTAATATTTTCTTAGATGATTATTAAAATAATCACCAATACATATTAATTTACAAACCGGTTTATTATAAACAAAATAAAAAATCTTTAACGCATATTGTGATGCATTGTACGTACGACGTATGTACATACGTACGTACGTACGACGTACGTATCAGGTATGTACGTACGTACGTACGTACGTATCGGGTATGTGCATAGCTTTTATGAATCAATTGAAAATCGGATAATCAAGTGTAAAATATCACAAGGCTTTACCGCTTCCCCAAATATGGGTATTACAGCAATGTCGGGTCTATTCATTTTTAATACAACTAGTACATACCCGTCGCTTCGCTGACGGACATATTGTAATTGAATAAAAATGGGAGTAAATTTATTAAATATAAAACAGTTGAAGCATGTGATGCATAACTCTTAGACTACTGAATAAAAAATTTTTTTTTGAATCCGAAATTCATGCAATAGTATAATAAGATTTTGTGTTCGGAAATTATGTTATCTATCTATATATTATCTATCTTCCACATTGACAATAAGTCAACAGATAGAAAAGATAGCTGAATAGGGTAGGGATACGCCAGTAGCGACCCTGCAAAGCAGTCAAACCAAGATACCAGGTAAAACCGGTATTCCGGTTTGTCCAGTTTGACCAAATCAGATAGGTAAATAAACTAATGGTACATGAGAAGGCATTTGCATTCAGATAAGTACGTACGATCTAATCGACTCTTCCTTTTTCAACCTTTATGAATTATATATGTACTAACAATAGTCTCATTGACAGATCGAATCTAAATAATCGACACAGGAAGACAACGATAGCAATATGCTAAATGCGGGAGCGAGATCTTCTACCCAGCAGAATACTGGTCTTTTGTAGGATCTTTAAAAATGTTATCTCAAGGTTGGATACCGCATATCTTAAATTCAGCTGATAACGGTGATACCCGGTACAATTATAGTTGCTACGTACCATAAAATATGGAAAATAATCGAGGTAGGAACGTCCCGAGTGCCCCGAGTTTGTAGATCGTTACACAATTTATTAATGATTTTTTTTTATACATTTTACAATACTTTTTTCGGAAGCTCGGGTAGATTATCTCTTCTATGAACCCAGTCAAGTATACTAAGAAACTTGAAGTTTTCGTGCCGTACTATAATACTTTCAGTTGAATCATTTTGAATCATTCGACCTTCATATTACAATT